CTAACTTCATTCTGGAGGTTTGCTCTGTATTAACCATAAGATATGAAGTTACTTGGTGAAAAGCACATGACACTGTGATAAATGGGTGTTGTTAGCTAGTACTTTTATTTATTCATTTACATTTTCTTTCTAAAATGTTTATTATGCACCTGCCATTCTGCTAGGGCAACATGCTAAACAAGATGGGATACAGAGTCAACTAGTATAGGCTGGGATACATGGTCACACTCCACAGGCACCAACATTTTGAATACTTTGGTAACTGAGCAGCCCAAATGCCCTACCTTATCTTCGATCAGCTTTCCACAAACTAAACAAATTAGAAAAGAGGATGAAATCATCTGACACCGGCATTTGTTGTTCCAACATCAGTATAGAAGGGAAAATACCTTGCCTTTGTTTTTAAATCCCATCATGCTGTGGCAAATTAATTCCAAAACGAGGTGGCAAACATGCTGAAGTCCAGTACAGACCCATGAAAGAATCTATTCTAATACAATTTTGGGCTTTTCTATCCATAATGGTGAAGGGATAAGGAAAATGATTTTAAAAAATTACCATGTATTCAAAATAATCCCATCTGATTTTTTATTTAAATTAAAAAAAAAGAAGGGTCAGAAATAACTGGGGGAATTAGGTTGTGACTGAGTTTATTTCTCCTTGTATTGATTCAGCCACAGTCAAAGAATCAATATTCTTTTCCCCCAAATCTGGATCTTGCTGGCTGGAAGGTTAAGGAAGATAATTTTCAGTTGTCCAAGAGACATGCCTACGTTTCTTGAGAAGCAAAGTTAAAAACAAGGCAATAGGTCATTTTTATGCTTGAAAATAGATTATTTAAAGAAAAAAACTCATGGCCCTGAAGAATGCCTTTGTAAGCCATATATTGTTATAGGAAAATGTTTTCTTTTTTTTTCCCCTTTCTGATGAGTGAACATTCTCACTGAAGTTTGTTGGTCATCAAAGTTCATTTTAGAACTAGCAGAGGCACAATGAGTTAAAGTTTCTTAAAAGCATTTTTTTAGGAATGCATTTTAATAATGTTGTTATGGTATTATTAAAATAATATGGTATATTATTTTAATAGTATGGTATACTTCTCTACCTATCTTTTTTTCATAGAGTTTTTAAAAATTCACTTTGAGAATGCCAAGGTTTTCTCATCCCCTTTTTTTCCCAAAGGGATCTCTACAGCAAACCAAAGGCCATAGAGTTTAAGCAAAATGAGTTAATGTGCTCTGAAAAGAGAGACAGAAAAAGCCCACATATGGATGACTTGGTGATTAAGCCTGGGAGACAACTTGAATAATCATTATCATAAATTATAGAATAAAAAGCCAAATATAGCTTCTAGTTTCTACAGAGCTAAATATACTGCTGAGATGTGTCACTCTGATAAAGACTTGAAGTAATTTTAGGAATATTTTATAATTTAAAAAGCTTAATGAAAATTGTCTTTTTCTAGAAGGAATGATAGGTCATTTCTCAGATGGCAACTGGGATGTGCGGTGACCTAGTTCTCTCTCTCGTTGTACCACTGGTCACAAGCTGTTCTGCAGAGCTGGGCTTGCCTTCCTCACCACTTCCGGGAGCACCTCCCAAAGCCTTGCCATTATACAGCACACCCAGTGTTGGGATAATTGTACGTGAATAAGTCTCTTCCAAAGTTACATCTTTATTTTTACATATTTGGAGATGTAACTAACCTCTAAACCTGGTATTTCATGGATATTATTCCTTAGATGAAGGCTAAGTAAAAAAAAATGTGTGCCAATTTAAATGATAGTATTAAGTAAAGAGTACTATAATTTGTATTTAGAGATGATAAACATTGACAAGGATACTAGAGTAACTGAAGTTCTGGAAATAGTGCCTTCTCCCATGGAGAAAAATGCTTTGGAATTTGATGTACTTACAAAATGACTTTTGAAAAAAGTTTTTATTTTGAAATAATGATAGATTCACAGGAAGTTGTAAAGAGAGTACAGAGACATCCCCCCAATGATTACTTCTTACATAGCTATAGTATAATATCAAAAGTAGGAGACTGACATTAGTGCAATGTGTGTGTATAGCTCTATGACACTTTACCCCATATGTAGATTCATATAACCATCATCATAATCAAGATACACAGCCTGGGCTTCCCTGGCGGCGCAGTGGTTGAGAGTCTGCCTGCTGATGCAGGGGACACGGGTTCGTGCCCCGGACCCGGAAGATCCCACATGCCACGGAGCGGCTGGGCCTGTGAGCCATGGCCGCTGAGCCTGCGCGTCCGGAGCCTGTGCTCCGCAACAGGAGAGGCCACAACAGTGAGAGGCCCGCGTACCACACACACACAAAAAAGATACACAGCCTTTCCATCATGACAAAGATCTCCCTCATGCTACATTTTTATAGTCACAGACCCTTTCAACCCCATCTCTAAGCCCTGACAATCAGGGCAATTGTAAGATTACTCTTTTATGCTTATCTCCTACACGCTTTTACTAAAATGTGAGAAAACCACAGGACTGGGTGTTAGGAGATGACTGGTTCTAAGTTTGCCACTGGCTAATTCATGTTCTTGGGCTACTTACTCTCTACCAGCCTCAGTAGCTCATCTATAAAAATGAAGATTTGTACTTTTTTTTTAGGGCACCAGCATTTAAGAGCTCATATGCTTATTTGGTCTCAAATATGATACCACTTTAAAGACTACTGCATGCAAACCAAGTTAATAAAATTTGATTTAAATATGTGGAGATCAACCAGGATTGAGCAGTGTGTTATAAACGTATTCTGCATTAAAACTGTGTCATTGTCACATAACTCAAGAAACCAAGAGCTGCATTATGATAATATATTGCTGCTCTAAAATCTGAAGCAAGTAAAAAACATCATTTCAACCATCTCTCAATGGGACAAGTGCTGCTGTTCTCCCAAATGTGCAGGTGGAGAAAACTTGGCACTGTGATTACCTGACTTCCCTTGCCCCAAAAACACCTTTGGAGGAAGAAGAAGCAAACATCTCTAATATGTGCCCAGCCAAATGTCTGAGCTGGCAGTGCTGCAGTAGAAACTTTAAGTTGAAGATTTTGAACTGCGGGGTTCGAATTTGGCCCTTTTCTGAGAAGGGAGATTCAGACGCTGAAGCTGCTCTTTGCTTCTGCTGCCCAGGGTCAGGGGTCAGGACCAGAGGACCTGCCAGGAACCTAGCAGTGGAGTTTCCTGCTTTCCTTGATGTCACTACTTGCTCAACACTGGAGAACAAGAGAAAAACAACAGGAAAGCAGTTTACTCCAAGTGGCACCTTCCACTTAAAGCTTTAAGAATCTCTTCCCACGCACCAATTCAACCTTACAGATCTCTTCCTCTCTACAATTCACTCCTATTTTAAATTCACCCAGCATGAGGATGTTCTGAGCTCATCAGCTGAGCCCTTCTAACATATTGATGAAAAATGGGTCCTCCCTCCTCACCTCAAATAATCTGGTGAAAAATTCCCAAGGAAGCAGAAACTTGAAAAGTGTCCTCTGGGGACTCTGGACCATCCACGTCGTGGGAGAGATCTACCAAAGCTTTCTTTCTGGATACCATCAATTCTTTACTGAAACTTCATTATCAAAAGGCACCATTTCCAAGCCCCACTCTCACTCCCGAGGACAATTACTAAAGGGATACATCCCCCCACCAACCGACGGCCTGGTCAACCGTGCCTGCAGCAACGAGGAGTCCAGCTTGACAATCTCAATCACCAGACAGGAACACTGTCCCCTCAGCGCCCCTCTGCTGAGCGTCCCCATTTCCCACAACCTTCTTCTGTGTGTCCCCGAGCACCCTGGATACCGCCCCCGCCCCGCCGCCACCACCGGAAGGACGGGTCCCGGGGTCCGGAGCATCCATCTCGGCCCTCATTGGACCACAGAGGATCAGTGGCCCTCCCGCGCCCGTGGGCACTGTCCGCAGACCCCGCACAGACGCCTGCTCTTACCCTTGCTCTCCCAGAAGGGCCCCATCGCGCCGTCCAGGAGGAGGCATCCACGCGCGCCCGGGAGGCCGGGGCCCGGCTGGGCTGGCGTCGGGTGTGGATGGGGCCCGGCGCCTCCGCGGGTGTGCGCTCGGGCTCGGGGAGCCGGGCACGGCCCGCTCCGCCCGCGCCAGCCCGGGCCGGACACGTGGTGCCTTCGCCGCCCGAGCGCTGGGATCCGGGTGGCGGCCCCTCGGCCTCTGCAGCCGCTGGGCCGCGGCCGGGGCTGCGAACCGAGCAGGGAGAAGGGCGGGGACCAAAGGGCCGGCGCCGGTAATGGGGGCGCGGCGACGCGCTCCTGCTCCGGGGGATTCCTGACCCACAGGCTCAGTCCCAGTCGCCAGGGCCCCAGCCGCCTGCGCTGCAGGCTCGCTTTCCCGAAGCCTCTCGGGGTGCAGGCGGCGCACTACACAGGCTCCGGGCTCCAGCCAGCGGAGGGATCCGGGGCTAAGGGCGGGAAGGTGTGCGTTGCACGACCTCCCTCTCACGCCCGCCCAGGTCCGCCGGGTCTTTGAGGCTGGAGTGCGCCTCGCGGTCTTCACTCACCCCAGTTAACCAATGCCCTGTCCCCGCGCAGGAGGCGCAAACCACTGAAAACCGCAGCGTGGACCTGAGGTGTCTTTTCTCCCCGGGAAAATTTCTCTGGCGACCGCAGCCTGTGTGAGGCAGCGAAGGAAACATTGCCCAAAACTCAGGGTGAAGACTTAGCCACAAGCTCTTTCCGACTTCTCCAGTGACCTTGGGCGCCTCGTCTAAACAAAGTGTCTCCGTCCGAATTTCCTGGTCCTGGGGATAAACGTGGCCATTCACTTTCTAACTCTCAGGACACAAATAGCAATTGCGCTTAAAAAAACAAGGTAAAATACCCTAGACTTCTTTAATATAGATATAATTTGCATCGACTTTAGGCAAGGCTGAGGGGAACCTCGGCACTGGGAAGAAAAGGGTTCGAATTTGTGAGTCGCAATGCAAAACTAGTCCCACTGCCTGCTTTCCTGGGAAGGTAGGTTTTTGAAGAGATTGGCGGGAAGGTACTCTCTTCTCTCAGACTTGCCAAGAGCCCCCGTTCGCCCCATCAAGAACATTCAGCTTTACTAAAGAGGTTCACGATGGAACTGGTTGCGTCCTTCTGGCCAACCAAAACTAAGGGTCAAAGGGCAGTCACCACCTTCAGGCTAAAGGCTCTTCCAGGTAAGTTTCTTGTTAGATTAATCTTCGTTTTTACCCCTAAGGGGAGCTTTCTGTACAGAAGACTGCTTTTGGAAAATAGCATCCCCGTCCTTACCCTGACTCCCACCCCCACCGCACCCCCACCCCTTTCCCTGGCTCCCCTTCTCACCATATTCAGGAGAGCTTAGCCCACACAGTCAACTTACAACAGACTTCTATTTCTGTGTGTGAGAACTTGGCAGTGCAGAGTTTATACAATTGAAACCCATCAGTCTCACATTACTTAATTTGGCACATGTTAAAGGTATGAAGCATTGTAGTCTGTCGTTTCAGCTCCTTTTCCTCTGGTGATCCCTTCTACTTCTCTCTGATCGTAAAGGCTTAGACTCTAAGATTTCTTCTCTCTGGTGTTTTCTAAGTCTTGGAAACCCCTTCCTCCATGAAAAATGCAGATTCATAACATAATGGAACTCCCTCACAACAAAAATTCTTCTTTTGACAAAGCTTGACACTACTAGGTCTTAGTATGTACCTTGTGCTGTGCCTCTCTCTTCACCTGCATTCAAGGTCACCAGTGAGTTGAAGCCTTCCTTGACTTTTTAGTAGCAGAGATCAATCCATCCCTTTGGCTCCTTGTCAGAACTGCTGTCTGCATCAGGATTTTCTTCACCGGCTCATGGTCTCTTGGGACTGTGTTCTGGGAATTTGGTTTTCTCTCTTCCTTCTCTCCATAATCCAGGATTCCAGGCCTTCTGCATCACATATTCCTGGGTTATTTCCTTTGAATCCCTCCTAGTTTCTTAGAAGAATATTGTGAAGCTAAAAAAAGAAAGTTAATATTAGAGTGCCATGGAAATGTAAGATAATGATAACGCGTCTCATGCCCTTGCAAGTTTACAACTTCCTTTAAAGGAGAGATTCCCACCTTTTTTGGAAGGAAATGTCATCATATTTTTATTCTGAAACCTTCAGAGCACTGGGAGTGTGTGTGCATTCGAGGTGGGGTGGGATCGGTTGGGTATGGGGTGGTAAAGTGGGGGAGAGGGAAGGGTGGTGTGGAACTGATGTTGATTTTATGAGTGGGAAGTGTCACGTGGACCAGAAGATGGGAAGAGGAGAGGGGAAAGTCCTCTTCTGCCATCAGAGTGGCTGCAGTGCTGACTGCTGTGGAACAATGGGTTGGGGGAGTTGTCCCCACAAGCTTACTTTCTTACTCATGGTCAATATAATTCCTCCACAGTGCATCTTCTGTAAGATGACCTTCTGCAATTAAGGTTACAATAAATACCTCTAGATGAATATCAAAGCACAAGCCACTGAATTCAAACTTACCTGGGCATATTACAAAAATACAGTGTAATTATAGAAACTGCTGTAGAACTCATTTTAAAAGAAAGGGTTAAACCAGGGGGTTTATAGAATCTTGGCGATAGAAGGAACTTTAAAAGATTAACTAGTCCAGCCTTTGAGATGTTGTGTCAATCATGCTTCCTCAGTTCTTGGGTTAAAAAAGTCTTTCTCTCTTATCTACTTGTTTCTTCTTAGATACTAGATTTGAATTAGACTAGAGAAAATTCTTGTATGGTTTCTCTAGACTTGAGAATAAAGTTAAATAACCAGCTCACAAGTTGGGAAGGTTCAAATGAGGCACAGAAGCCACATGGTCCTTTCAGAAACCCAGAGTTAAAGGAAAACACATTCAGTTAAAGTGATTGCAAAGAAATACCAACTTTTCTTTTCTGGGACTAAACTGTAATTGTCTTGTGCTAAGAATATTTGAAGTTTAGTTCTTCACAGCTTTTATCAAAATATATAGAGCTAGTACCTGTCTATAATTTATTTATTCATTCAGCAACATTTACTCAGTACCGTATTCCAGACCTATTTTGTTTTTCCTCATCCTTTTTACATTTCCATAAAGCTTATTTAAGTTTTATTAGATTGATATGTTACTCCTCTAAGTTACCAGAATGGGGAAAAAACTCATGTTTGCTGAGTATGTACTATGTACCAGGCACCAATTCATATCATCGAATTTAATTATTACATTTTCCTTAAGAAGTTGTCACACTTTACTGATGAAGAAAAGGAGGTCAATGACTTGTTTACAATAACAAAGCTAGTAAATGTTGGAGTGAGGATGTGAACCCAAATCTTTCTGACTATTCTGTATTCCTGTTCACTGCTGGGGCTTTCTGGAGGCAATGCCTTTATTCAAAGAAATAGTCAAATGGGAGAAATATTAGATGCTACTGAAGGATGGACAGGGAGTGGATTTGGTCAACTTATGTCACTCAACTCAAACAAAAGACAAGTAGCTTTGCCTTTTCTTGTAGAAAATCTAATCAAAATCCTTGGGAAGGGGCTTCTTTGGTGGCACAGTGGTTGAGAGTCTGCCTGCCGATGCAGGGGACGCGGGTTCGTGCCCCGGTCCAGGAAGATCCCACATGCCGTGGAGCGGCTGGGCCCGTGAGCCATGGCCACTGAGCCTGTGCTCCGGAGCCTGTGCTCCACAACGGGAGAGGCCACAACAGTGAGAGGCTCGCGTACCAAAAAAAAAAAAAAATCCTTGGGAAGATTGGAAAACTGTGTTAGACTCCCTTAAACCACACATATGATGATGAATATTTATTTAAAATATTTGGAAGAAAAATTATGTATTATAATTCCTAGATCTACACTGTGACTATAAAATATTTAAAGTATTAGCCAAGCCAACAACTTTTATTCATAACAGACTGTGTTAGTGAAAGGAGATGCATGGTGAGTTTGAACAAACTGTATACCCTTTCTGTGTCTACAGTTTTTCGTCTGTTAAATGGAAGTAGCAAGTATAATGCTTCAGGAGTTTGAGGTGCCAAAGGAAATAATGGAAACAAAAATGCTTTGAGAGCTATGGCTACATATACATTCTTGTATATGACAACAAGAAAGGAGCTAAATGGAAATCACATAGTGAGCTTAGTGGAAAAGGAATATTTTATAATTCATGTAAGCTTTGATCACAGTTATGAAGTTTTAGCCTAAATGGAAAATGTGTAGGTTATTTAATATCTTCCATCTTATAAATGAATAAACAAATGCTCAGTGGAAATAAATAGTCTACAGTCACATCACATTCTTAAGAATATTGTTGAAAATTCTAAAATAAGAAAGTGATACCATCGGACGAGCCAGAATTAGTCAATAACTATTTTTTGAGTACCTACTATATATCAGGCACTGTTTTAGGTGCTGGAAACGTAGTGGTGAACAAAACAGTTTTCATTTCTGCTGTGCAAAGTCTGATATTCTAATGGAGTCAGAAAAAATATATGAACAAACAAATCGTTTCAGGCATTGATAAGTGTTTTAGAGAAGTTAAAATAGACAATGTGGTTATGATGCCAAGGTTTTTGGTCAACTGAGTGAAAGGGGGTGCAGTTTACTTTGATGGGGCAAGATGTGATTGTGATGGTTGGGATGAGAATGGGAGAAATGATTAGCTCTGTTTTGGTCATGTGAAATGTCAAATAATAATCAGGCATCCAAATGGAGCTATGGAAGCTATGGAAGTCTGAAGCTCAAAGGTTGGAGATAAACATTTGAGAGTTTTCATCACATAGACAGCTTCCAAGCCATGGAGTTTTTTTAAAAGTGGGTAATTTGTTCTTAACTGTAAAGGGCTTTCTTTGGTCAGGTTGCTGTGTAAGTGGGGTAGTTCTAACATGTCTTAACTTGTCCCCACAAACCAAAGCCACCTGAAGATGTTCAGCTATAGGCTAGCAGACCATCACCATAGCAACAGTGTCTTCTCAGAGCGGATGGGGAATCTTTTCTCATTTTGAGGTTCAGTCATGTCTGCCATTTTAAAATGAAGGTGTTCATGACCACACTGTTATTCCTTTTATTAAGGCCCAAATGTGTACCTCAAATCCATTCAATAACTGTTGTGATGAGAAGGGACTATTGACCTCTCTGCAGAAACGGGTTTTCATTATACCCCCAACTTCTGAGTTGAACTTAGGTGACATAATTCTGTATTTAAGAAAGTTGTGTAAAGCCATCATTCAATTTAGATTTTCTTATCAAAATTATCTTGAGAGCCTATTTTTGTGTATCTTTTAATTTTTGTGTGTTTTAAAAGATTTATTTTTCACTGTTTTTCACAATAATCTTTATTTAGTACTCTGGGAGCAGTTGCTATATCTTGCCCAAAGGAATTTGTTCTTAGATAAAAATTCTTTTAATTTAGAGGAAGAAATAATGAGGCCAGAGATTAGGCTTGAATGACTTCAGGTATTCAGAGTGAAGTCTGTGACCTAAAAGGCTCTCTAATGCCCCCAAATACCCAGGTTTCACAATGACTTACTGTTCTACCTTTGGAGAATAATTTCTATTAGTTCAGCATTGGATTTTCCTTGTAGTTCTGTTTTATTTTTTACAGTAAAAATGCACAAACATATTATAGAAAATTTAAAAATATAGAAAAGCACCAAGAAGAAAAATAAAATCATTCATAATCTCTCAAAGATAAATACTAGTAACATTCATGTGTATATTCTTCTTATATAACTTTTAAAATAAAATGAAAAATACTGAATATACTATCTTTTATAATAATACCTTTTTCTGATCACAAATACATTATAGAAAATTTAGAAAATACGTAAGTGCAAAAAAACCCAGAAAAATAAAATGACTTCTATCCCATTCTCTGAGGTAATCATTATTATAAAATTTCCTGCATTTTTTAAAAGTTATTCTTTTTTAAAAAAATTAATTAATTAATTTTTTTGCTGTGTTGGGTCTTCGGTGCTGCGCACAGGCTTTCTCTAGTTGCAGCAAGCGGGGGCTACTCTTTGTTGCGGTGTGCGGGCTTCTCATTGCGGTGGCTTCTCTTGTTGCTGAGCCCAGGCTCTAGGTGCATGGGCTTCAGTAGTTGTGGCGTGCCAGCTCAGTAGTTGTGGCTGGCAGGCTCTAGAGCACAGGCTCAGTAGTTGTGGCACACGGGCTTAGCTGCTCTGCGGCATGTGGGATCT